CCAAATCCCCTGGGTTGTGTGAGGATGGGTCCTTCCTGCTCCTCACTCACCAAGGAGAACTTGTTCACTTGCACGTAGAGGGTCTCCAGCTCCTCCTGGGACACCTGGCTGTCACCTGGGTGGCCCTGGGTGAGCTCCTTGTAGGCCTGCAGGTAGGAGTGCAGCCACTGCAGCTGGGTCTCCCTGCTGGGGTAGAGGCCGTAATCCACCTCCTTCACACCTGGGGGGACATGGGGGGACACGGGGGGGGACAGGGAGGGATTGGGGTCTCCATGGTAAAGCGAGGAGAGCACAAGCCCAGCCAGGCACAAACCCAGGGTTGGCTGCTGGTCTTTGGGGTGAGGAGCCAGGATTGGCACCCCAAGGGCATCCGGGTGCCCAAGAGCAGCAGAGACCCCGCTGTGACCATGGGCAGCCCCATTTCCTGGGGCAGGATTTGGGGTGCAGCTCCGCCCTCCATCCCCGGGGATGGGGAGACCCCATTTCCCACCCCAAGACTGAGATAAAACTCTCTCATCCATCCCAGTAATGGGGACACCCCATTTCCCAGTATGGGACATGGAATTCTCAGTAACAGGGACACCCCATTTCCCAGTATGGGACTGGGAATTCCCAGTAACAGGAACACCCAATTTTACAGTATGGAACCCAGAATTCCCAGTAACAGGGACACCCCATTTTCCAGTATGAGACATGGAATTCCCATTAAATAGGGACACCCCATTTCCCATATGGAACATGGAATTCCCAGTAACAGGACCACCCCATTTCCCAGTACGGCACTGGGGATAACTCCCTGTCCATCCCAGCAATGGGGACACCCCAGGCCAGGGATGGGGGGACTTTGGGGGCCCCCAGGTGTTTCCCAGGGATGAAGAGACCCCATTTCCCATCCCGAGACTGGGATAAAACTCTCTTGTCCATCCCAATAACAGGAACACCCCATTTCCCAGTAATAGGAACACTCGATTTCCCAGTATGGGACATGGAATTCCCAGTAACAGGGACACCCCATTTCCCATATGGAACTGGGGATAATTCCCTCCTCCATCCCAGTAATGGGGACACCCCATTTCCCAGTATGGGACTGGGAGTTCCCAGTAACAGGAGCAACCAATTTTACAGTATGGAACCCAGAATTCCCAGTAACAGGGACATCCCATTTCCCATATGGAACATGGAATTCCCAGTAACAGTACACCCCATTTCCCAGTATGAGACTGGGAATTCCCAGTAATAGGAACGCCCCATTTCCCAGTATGGGACAGGGAATAAAACTCGCTTCTCCACCTCCAGTGACAGGGACACCCCATTTCCCAGTATGAGACATGGAATTCCCATTAAATAGGGACACCCCATTTCCCAGTATGGGACATGGAATTCCCAGTGACAGGGACACCCCATTTCCCAGTATGAGACATGGAATTGCCATTAAATAGGGACACCCCATTTCCCAGTATGAGACATGGAATTCCCAGTGACAGGGACACCCCATTTCCCAGTAATAGGAGCACTCAATTTCCCAGTATGAGACATGGAATTCCCATTAAATAGGAACGCCCCATTTCCCAGTATGGGACTGGGAATTCCCAGTAATAGGAACGCCCCATTTCCCAGTAATAGGAGCACTCAATTTCCCAGTATGAGACATGGAATTCCCATTAAATAGGGACACCCCATTTCCCAGTATGGGACATGGAATTCCCAGTAATAGGAACGCCCCATTTCCCAGTATGGGACAGGGAATAAAACTCCTCCACCTCCAGTGACAGGGACACCCCATTTCCCAGTACGGTACTGGGGATAACTCCCTGTCCATCCCGGCAATGGGGACACCCCGGGCCAAGGTTGGGGGGACTTTGGGGACCCCCAGGCGCTCCCCACCTGCGAACTCGTTGAAGTGGTTGCCGATGTCGAAGGCCTGGTAGTTGTACCCGGTGTACTCGTAGTCAATGAAGCGCACGCGCTCTGCGGGGACAAAAACGGTCAGCGCTGGGGACAGAG